TCTCAATAATACAAAAAATTTAACAAGGAATGCTCAGATAGGATTAAAGAAAATATATACCACACTGTGTTGCACTGATCTTGGTTAGACACTAGCTGCCCAAAGTTTCTCTATCCCTTCTCTCCTCAGCTGAGCTGGGGAGAGAAAACACAGCCAAAGGCTCTTGGCTTGGAAGAAGGACAAGAAGAGCTTTCTGTTGTGGACCAAACAGAGTCAACTCATGGAAATTAATTTAATTTATTAAGTAAAATATTAATCACATCCTAGTAGGGTAATCAGAAGTAAAACCTAAACCTTAAAACACCTGCCTCCCACCCTCCCTTGTTCCCAGGCCCAACATCACTCCTGATTTGGCTCTGCCTCCTGCCCCAGCAGTGCAAGGGGTCAGGGAATGGGGCTTGCAGACAGATCATCACACGTTGTTTCTGCTTGTCCTTACTTCTCTCATTCTTCCCCTGCTTCAGCATGGGGTCTCTCCCATGGGAAGACTCCTCTACATTGGAGACTTCTCCAGTTTGGTCACAACCTTCCACAGGCTGCAGTCACTCAGAAACAGCCTGCTGCAGCCTGGGTCCCAAATGGGTCCCAAGTCCCACCAGCACAGGGCCTCAGGTCCTGCCAGGGGCCTGGTCCAGACAGCCCAGGGAGACACTTCCTTCTCTGGAGGCATCCACTTACTCTCTAGTGAGGTCCTGCACGGGCTGCAGGGGAGGATCTGCTCCACCATGGACCCTCCCACGGGCTGCAGGGGAATCTGTGCTCCAGCACATGGAGCACCTTCTCCCCTTTTCTCCCCTGACCTTGGCATCTGCAGGGCTGTTTCTCTCAGGTATTCTCATTCCTCTCTCCAGCTGCTGTTGCCTGGCAGTTTTTTTCCCCCTTCTTAAATGTTATCCCAGAGGCCTTGGGAGCCACGTCTTGTAGCAATCCTGGAAACAGTTGGAATAGGCTTTGTTGAACATGGTGGAAGCTTCTTGCAGTTTGTCACTGAAGCCACCCTTGTACTCCCATCACTGCCAAAGTTTTGCAAAGCAAACTTAATGCAATCACACAAAATTATTCAAATTACTATTTGCTTAACACTAGATATAGCGGTACTTTGCTGGATTAGATGCATGGTTCTGAATCCTTCTCCAAAGTAAAGATCAGGCAATCAGAAATAGAAATTACATGACATTGAAATACTGATTTGTTAAATTTCATTTACTTATATTCTTAAACAGTTGGAAATATGCAGAAAATAATGATTCTGAACATGCAGAGGAATGTAAAACCTATCTTAGCAGTCTAAAGTTGCAAGTTGAAGCTTTAAACTGTGAATTTCAATGTATCTTATGATTGAATCTGTTAGTAATATGTATGTATGTATATATGTGTGTATGTACGTATAGAACACATATCAGTCAGTAGAACAACTGCTGAATGCACAATCTGAATGCAAATATATAGTCTAAGAATTTGAAGTGATAAAAGCTCTTAGGGAGCCCTCACTTCTGCAGGAAAAGAAAGAAAATAATTTTCTAATTATACAGTAATTTTTATGAACATAAATGGATAGTAAATACTGAAGATTTCGACATGACCAAATGATAATTATGTTTTATATTTGAAATAGTCATCAAGGAACTGAAGCAGGTAATTAAATTGACTCATCTGCTTTCATCAAATTTGTAAAAGTACATAATAAAGTCAGTCAGAAACAGGAATTTGGGGTATACACTGTTCCCTGGAAATTGCTGAAATTATATTGTTTATAAATATATGTGAGACAATTCATGTATGCAGAATCCAGAGAACTTTGTGTTAGGCAAGTCCATTCATTTCAGCAATGCTAGCCTTGATGACAGTTGTTGAAGGTCTCTGCCTAGGTTTATATGATGAACTAGCCTATGCCACCCAAACCAGTCATACTGCAGGCAGAGTCTGGCACCTTTCACCACAATATTCCTCTAATGCTAGAAAAGCAGGAATGCTGTGACCAGGGCAGACAAACGAGGCACAGCAGAGTGGTGTGTGTGTGTGCGGAAGGACATTTCTTTGAAGAAGAAGCATTCCACTGACTGTGTGGAGAGACTTGAAGTCCACATAACCCAGCAAATGGGCCCCCTTCTGTAAGCATCTGCACAGGCCAAGGGCACCGCCTGTCCCTAAAGGCTCTGCTCAGGCTGGAAGGGCTGCACCGCCTACCTGGTGGTGGCCTGCCCTCAGATGGAGCTGCTGAAAGGCAAGGCTGCCTTGCAGATCTCAGACTCTAGGAAGAAGACCCTTCTGCTGGGCTGGAGACTGGCAGCAGACCTGCCTGCAAAAGCTGTGCCCAGGCTGGGGGACTGTGCTTTCATCAGTGATACAGCCTGGAGTGCTCTGGGTATCAATGAAGGATTACAGAGCTCTGGGAATGGTGGTAATCTGGAGTACAGGCACTTTTCTCCTCCATTCTCCCAAGGGTGTGAAAGGGACAGCCAAATGTAGTGAACCAACAGTGCTAGAGGACTGGTGCCACAGCCAGGGCTCAGCCACTTATACCACGGCACCAGCTTTGAGAAAACTGGGCTGCTGAGGGCTGATGGGAACACTTGTCAGAGAAGTGGAAGATCACCTTTGGTCGTAGGCTTGTCAAGCTGGTGAAGAGGGCTTTAAACTAAAGTTGTGGCAGGAGAGGAACCTCAACCCACCCCATCCACACCAGTTTGATGCCAGTGCCAGCAAGAGATGCCCAGAGCTTGGAAAAGGATCACAGGTTGGGCAGGAGAGCAGCACAAAGGAATTTCTGCCTCTTCAGTCAGAAAATAGTCTTCATCTAGAGCTCAACTTATATGCCCGTATGCAAGTGCATGTAGTGTGGGAAATAAGAGTAGCTAGAGATGTGTGCTATGACCTTATTGGCATCACAAAGATGTGATGGGATGGCTCTTATGGCTGGAACATTGGAATGGAATGATACAGGCTCTTTAGGAAAGTCTGGCAAGGGAAACAAGGAGGAGATGTCGTGCTCTATGTCAGTGACCAGCTAGAATTCATAGAGCTCTGTTTGCCCTCGGACAGATGAGAAGCTGACCAAGAGACACCAAGCTCTGATGCAGTGCACATGCTGGAGAGAAGGAATGACATCCAGAGGAGCCGTGACAGACTGGAGGGCTGGGCCCATGTGAATCCCATCAAGCTGAACAAGGCCAAGTGTGCATGGTCCTGCATCCAAGCTGGGTCAATCCCATGCACAAATACAGGCTGGGCAAAGAATAGATCAAGACTAGCCATGGAAAGAAGGACTGGGTGGGAGTGGTGGATGAGAAGCTCAAATTGACCTGGCAATGTGCAATCACAGCCCAGAAAGCCAACCACATCCTGGGCTGCATCACAAAGAGGTGACCAGCAGGAAAAGGGAGGGGATTTTTCTCCTTTGCTCTTGTGAGATCCCACTTAGTGTGCTGCATCCAGCTCAGGGCTGAAGACAGGCTGAGTTGGGGCTGCTCATCTTGGGGAAGAGAGGGCTCTGGGGAGACCCTATAGCACCTTCCAGAACCTTATGGGAGCCTGCAGAGAACTGCAGAGGCACTTTTTACCAGGGCATGGAGTGACAGGATAAGGAGGTATGCATTCAAACTGTAAGAAGGTAGGTTTCCATTAGATATTAGGAAGAAGTTCTTTACTGTGATAGTGGTGAGACACTAGAATAGGCTGCCCAGAGAATCTGTGGATACCCCATCCCTGGAAATGTTCAAGGCCAAGCTGGATGCAACCTTTGTGCTACCTGGTGCAATGAAAGGCAGCCCTACTCATGGCAGAGTGTTAAACAGGATGATCTATAATGTCCCTTCCAACCCAAACAATGTCATGATTCTATGAAATAACCACCCTTCTGATTTTTGTTTCATTTTACTTTGAAATTTCACATTTCAGCTTCCTGGGTAGAATTTGTCCCTCCTCTTATGCAGAATTTACTTGATCTGCCTTTTGTCAGTATTACATAGTCCATATAAAATTTTATAAAATAAAACCAAATTTGAAGATGGATATGCCAACTGGCTTAATGGAATGCCAGGAAATTATCCAAAGATTTTTATTGTGTATTTTAAATTGTGGGAATTTTAAACTAAAATAAAATATTAGCTGTGACAAAGGAGGAAGTAAGGAGCATAAAGGTTCATAAAGAATACTTTTAGCATCCTAAAACCAGGTCAAACAAATATATAGAAAGTGTAGAAGCAGATAAACTGCAAAGAGTGCACACAGTCTTTAATCATCTTGAACATTCTAAATTCTGAAAGAAAAAAAGTTTATTTGAGATATCAAAGTACAAACTTCAAATAAATGCTTCAAAACACTGGATTTTTAATATTGTTTTATTTTTTTAAGAAATACTCTCTCTCAACCTATTTTAACTATTTTCTTCTTAAAACACAGTGATACTCTTAAGACATAAAAGTTGCAGGGAAGGCACAATCAGCCACCAAGTGTGGATAAAGATCAGTTGAGAGAATCTGCACAAGTTCCTATGGGCAAAATAAATCTGGTAGAGTATGAGTGGAAATTAATTTTTTGCCCCAGGGGTCTTGTACTAGCCTGCACAGCTGTGTATATTACTCTGTTTCAATTCTCTATCCTCTAAGTAATTATATATATAAAAAAATGACTCAATAGAAATTGTAGCTATTGGTAACTAAACTCATAAGAACTCATAGAATACATTAGTCTACTCTCAGCATTCAGAGCTCTGGGCTTAACTACTTTTAAGAGTGATACCACAGAGGTCAACAGATGCAGAGTTGCGTTAATAAATTATTACAAAGATAAGATAATATATTTCATACATCACGTTTCCATCAGGAGCTGATGAGTCTAAATATTACAAATTATTATTGAAGCATTCAAATAAAATTGCTTGAAAAAAATACAATACAAAATATATTAAGGCAACTAGCATGCTTTGCTGAAAGAGAAACTATTTATAATAGCCAGGATTAGGAAAAAACCCCACAACAAATAAACCACAAAAATTTTCTTTTTCTCTTTTTTTTTTTTCCTCTGCATTAAATATGTGCTCATCAGCAGTCCTAGCACTTTGGCCATTTTAGAAAACACATGGTTGACAGACAGGAGAAGAAAATTAAAGAAAAAGAAAGCAGTGTATCTGAAAGAATTTTACATTTACACCTTCTAGGTACTGTCCATTTTCTTACTTTGCAGGCTGTCAATTCCATGATTGCTTTGAATTTTGCAGAACTGAACTTTATTCAGAAATATTGTAATTATTTCTCCATTCAATTCTTTTAACCGAAAGTATTAAACAGATTGATCTGCAAAATATGAACATGACAACCCAGAAATTATGCACGTGGTCTCCATTAGCATAGCCTCTAGCAGAGAGTTAGAAATCTTATTTGGTAACTGAGACAATAAAATTCTACAGCTTTGTTTTGGACTTACAGCAATATGCTGGAGAAGGGTTTGAGATAAACTACTATATCTTAAAGGAAAAAAATTGATTTAACCACATAGATTTAAAATTCTCATGTTTTGCATTCCTTTTTTTTTTATTTTACCTGGAGCCCAATATTTTATTAACTATATAAAGGGGATCAGTTTTAGTTGTATCCCAAAGTCCCCACTGAGGAAGCAGGATTTACAGGCTCCTGCACCAAAACAGCACAAGATGGGATTTGAAAACCTACTTGCTATATGAAAATAGTTGCTAGCTAGCTATTGGGAAACAATGTCTAGCCAGAGACTAAAATGTCTGGCTCCTACCTGTTGCTTCTGCTATGCTTTTTTTGGTAGTCATGATTTCAGGAGGCTTAAGACACTGGATCCAACCGGTGAGATAGGCAGGAGAAAGCCTTGCTGAAAATGCCCCTAGGGTTAGGTGTGAGCCTGGGATTTCAGCGTCTCGCATAAGCAGGACATAAGCAGTCCTGACATGCCTGCTGGCAGGAACTCTGTGGACTTAAACATCACTGGGGCAACTACAGGGTAACAAGAGATAAGTGGGGGGTTTAAGACTCTTAAAAGCAGATAAAAGCTGCTGAAAGAGAATCAAAATTAAAAACCCATATGTGGAAGGTAATTTTTAAAATGGGACTTAGGAGTTTTTAAAAATATCATCCTGATATTATATATAAACTAAATTTAAAAATACAGCATAAATGCAAATATATTTCTTCTGTTCTACATTATCATAAAAACTATTTTTTAACAGATTAAATGCTCAATTATAAAATCTTTTACAGCAACTTCATAGCAAGGAACTCCATCTGTATAAAGCTAATGTAACAGAGCAGAAAATCAAGCTCTTGGTCTAGTTTTCTCTAGTCTCTACTTTACGTTCCTAAAAAGTTAGGGAGATGCGAGGAACAGACCCAAAGACCAAAGAATACGAAATTTCCAAACTTTTGGTCCAAGAAAGTCAGAATGCTCCCATTTCACCAAGTATCAACATTACAAAGTCGAAACAGTCTGTCTTGATGTAGCAAAGTCAACAACTTTGCACCTTTTACCAGTTAACCCATTCTAGCACATAGCATTCTAGCACAAGTACACTATTAAGGACATAAATAGACACCCTTTACTTTGCTAAAGCAGTGCCACAGCTTTAATACCTTGAAGAGCTTAACTTTCAAGACAACAGGTTTACTAATTCTTATAAATATCCTCCAAAATAAAATTTTAAAAAATGCGTAACTGCTTTCAACTATGTTGACAACAGCACCATTTCCCCTGCAGTTATTTCAGAGTCCTGACTGTGTGTAGAGCTGATTCCAGTGTCAGAGTCTGTATCATTTATGTCCAGATTAGTCAGTCTATGAACAAAGTCAGGAACAGCAATGCTGTTACTGGAGACGCCACTGCCCTTGGATGGCTCTTCATTTGATTGAAGCCTAGTTTCAATGTTGTCCTTAACATGTAGTAAATTAAATTCTTCTGTAAGAAGTTCATATTCTTTTTCCTTCTTTTGAAGCAGTGAGTCCCTGTATGTAAGTTCTTTCTGAATGCAGCTCAGGTATGAGTTGATTCTCAGACCATCTTTCATACTTTTTTCCAGCTCGTATTTTACACTTTCCAAATCTGAGCTTTCCAGTTCAGCATTAGCTGCTTCTTCCGTGCGAACAGACTCTCCGTTTTTTTCCATGCATATACCATGTACTTCTCTTTCAATTTCAGCACACAGGTTCTCTATTAATTGTTTGTGGTGTTTCAGTCTCTCTTCAACCTGTAAAATTCCCTCACTTTTGCTCAAATAGTCATGCATCTCTTTTTGATCATCTGGCCTACTCCCCTGCTGCTCAGTCTCACTTGTATTGATCATTAAATACGAGTCCTGCACATAATTTTCTCCATCATTTGCCACACGATCTAGATGGAATTTTGCTTCACATTTTTCAATTTCCATGTCTAGTTCCTTCATTCTAAGGACTTGCTGATGAATGGTATGATCTTGAGAAATGATCAGATGAATCAGTGTCTCCATATTATCTCTCTCTTGCTGAACACTGTCCTGCTTAAGCTTGGCCAGTTTCCGGAAAGTCTTCCTCACAATTTTCTTTTGCTTGTCTATTGGCAACATCTTCATGTAGTTTGCTGGACTGAGGTCCCACTGCTTTTCTACATTTTGTACTACCTTGGCTTCAGCTGTCTTCCACAATGGAAATGAGAGGAAAGCATCTGACTTCACCAATACAAAATGCAAATTAGCCTGCTCTTCCCCCCAGGCCTTCCAGAGTCTCAGAATCTTTGTCAAGGGAGGCAGTACTCGCTCCGAGCCTCTCCATTTTTCTACAATGCAGTAATCACTAGGTTTTCCAAAAAGGACCTTTTTCTCCCCAAATGTTGTCTGATGTTCCTCAAGCAGTGCTTGAATCACCTCCGAGCAAGTTGTGCGCTTTGTCAGGCCACATACAATCTTCTCCTCCTGGCAAACCCAAACCACAATCTCTCTTTCATTTGATGCCATGTCCTTGCTGGGAGATCTGGAAAGCAAGAAGAGACCAAGTATAAATTACATATCAATGGCAGAGACAGTATGAATAACTACTATAATTTTGATATGACTAACACACTGAAAAACTCCTGTATTGTTGTACAAGGCAACATACTTGCTTAAATTGCATGAAGAAATGTCTTTGGATTAAGTAATAGCTTTAATTGACTACTGCTTTAATATTATTACTAGTCCAGCTGAATGAGAATCTTGCAAAATGTCTTTTATCAAATATTGGTTTTGTATACCTAGTAAGAGTGCATTAAAGTTTGGCAATCTGCATTACACTTTCAGACTGACCTAGGAGAGCACAGCTTTCGGATCTTCATATTTGCTCTCATTACAAAGACTGCCCAGACATTTCTAAGCTACTAGAAATGACTTCTGAAGGGAAGAATGCATTGAACATAGATGGACTGAGGAAAGATGACTGAATACCACCAATGAATCTGACAACAGGATAAATCTATAGCTCTTCTGCCACACTTGCACCTAAACAAGCATAAAAACAATCGTTTTCCTTTTTTTTCTCTAATAAGTCAAGAAATTTGTTGCTCTTCCTGAAGTATCAAATAGTCTGAATTCCAGTGAGTTGTGAGAGAATATCAGCTGCAAAAGAATACATACATGGGTCTGCATTTTATTTTGTTATTTGAAATTATGCAGAAATGTAAGAAAAGGAAACAAGTTATTTTATTTAGTTGTTTATTTACTTGTTTGTTTATGAATTACAATGAATGTGCTATTAACCTGGTACTTCCTTATACATTGAGATATCCAACTCCAGGTGTCTGAGATCCCATTATGGTTTCTGTAGCTCCAGTGCCTAGACAGCAATTCAGTCGACCAAAGGCTGAAGTTCACTCCACAGCTAATTCTCCAGTTTGCCCCCATCTGGTCTTGGACTGCTGTGGGCCTGTGTTGGCAGAGTTGCCTGGATATTCCTGACCTCAAGACTCCACTTGAATAGTTTTTTCTTGCCCAGACCTGATGATTTCACCTCTTGCACAAAATGATAAACCAGTAAATTCCCTGAGGAAAACATGTCTTTGGATTTTCTAGAATGCCTTGCAGTTAATTTGAATGAATGAGGTTTCACCTAGTCTGACAGAGAAAGCTTGAAAAGGAAAATAACTATTCAGACCATATTTAAAGGGTGTAATAGAGCATGTTTCCATCTAGGACTACTTATCACAGAACTTTTTTTAGTCTTCTGAATTGTAGTAAGCATGGAGTTTTATTTGGCTTAATTACAGCTACACCCTATGATTAGTAAAGCAATCCAGCTTGTTCGTTTTTCCTAATTATTACACAACATGACAGACACACTGCAATCCAATAAATTGAACTCAGCTCTAGGTGCCACTCTGACCAGGAGGCAAAAATCCTTAAAAGAAAGGAAACTGCAAATGAATACTAATAAAACTGACAACTGTAAGTTTATTAGTATTATTGCACAGGAGAGCTCTGTCCAAGTACATTGCTTCAGGTCTTGGAACATTCTCTGAAAATGTGTGTTTTGGTAGATGACTCTGAGTAATAGCATCATTTTCCCTCTCCAATAGCTCCCCCTCACAGACCAGCATTTTACAATAATTATTTTTTGAAACTGGCGCTCAAAAAGTTAATAATGTTTTCATAAACTACTTCTCAAGATAAGAAAGCACATATCACAGACACAGAAAATGGCAAAGTGGCACTAAGAAAGAGTAATATTCAAGTTTAAGAGGGGAGGAAGGAATGGAGAATGATATTAGATTAAACAGCATTACAGTGAAGTATGTCACACACTAAAAAATCAATATCTCTAAAGCCTCTGAGATTTACAATCTGCAGGATGCTGTATTTTTTTCTGTTAACAGATTGGCAGCTAAGCAAAATTCAGGTAAATAGCCAGTTGCAATGTAAGTCAGCTGTGACTAAAAATAACTCATTATTTGCTTTACACTACAGATATGAAAAGGAAAAAAGCAACAAATAATTTATTATGCATAAAATTATGCAAAATGAATCATGAAAACTACAGTGCCTCAAACCATGTTCACTACTGATGCCTAAATAATTGATTTACAAATTCAACTGTATTACCAGTCATTGAATTTAAATTTATAGAAGTACTGCAAATAAAAAGAGGCATAAAAATATAAAAAATACCATACTGGGGACTCTGAGGCAGTAAATTCAGTCTGTATTTTTCCTGATTTCTTTTGCAATTAGGAAATACATTTCAGGAAATGAATGTTGTCTCTCCTAGCATTCTTCTGAGTCTCTTATGCAATTTGTTTTCAAATCAAAACTATTCCTATTTTTTTCTTGTTTTTGTTTGATTGGCATTTTTTCTCCTACTCAGTATTTTCAGTATGTAACTGATTATGTGGCTTAAGCAGAAGCCTACTGTCTCTTCTGGCTCCTTTAAAGTTTCCTTATGAAGCCAGTTTCTCTCTGTGCTATTAGCAAATATTCAGATATATCTGCAGACCCCCTACACATCCCATCATTACTGTACTGATAAATTCTTCCACTATACTTTCTTATCCGGAATTCCCACAGAGTTCAGCAGGAGTTAAACAAACTTCTGATGGAAACACTGTATTTTGTAAAGCAATCTCTACAGGATCCCTGAAAACAATATGGATGTAGAAATAAGATCTTTAAATTACTGTTTTCAACACTTTTCTAGCTGTTTATCACCCCCTGTAATTTTTTCAGTTTGCATGCCCAGAGTTTGCATTCAGCTTTCTTGGAGAAGGATTGTTCTTTATTCTGCCTATAAAATGTAACTTAGTTGCACAATTGGATAATGTATGCACATGCAGGTACACAAAGAAACCAAGCAGCTTATACATGAAAATAACTGCTTACAAATATATAAGTATATAATATATATATACCTACATCTTTTAATTATATGGTCATATTTTACAGAAAAGGAGAGAAGAAATTAAAAGAATTTCGAATTTCTGAACATTTCTGTAATTCTTGGATCAAAGCAACATGGTAAAGTAAAAATTATTTCCTTAATTCTTCTATGTGTTTGTCTCAATAGATATTATCCTAATTTTTTTTCAGTCACTCAATTTTTGATCTTCACTTCTATGCAAAAATAGTTAGCCAGACATTTATAATCTTACATTGCCATGGAATTCTAATATATTCTAAAATATCAAAAGTGGTTCTTTATTATCTTCCACTAAAAATGGTAAACTGGAACATTACCATGGACCTTTCAAGTAAAATGCATCGTATAATTCTTTCTTCATAGTTAATTCAGGTAGTTTCAAACAAAAATGAAATGTTGTGTCAGTTACAGAATACCAATCACTAAAAGCTTGCTTTCAGGATGCAAGAAGATGCCAGTACTAGGAAATATCTTTTGTTAAACTGCACATTCCTCATAGAAAGTGAAGAGCAGATTCTGCATTTATGAAGTGGAATTCATCTGAAAGTTAATATTTCAGTATAAATTCAACATCAAAATTCCACTTCATTAAGAGAAGAGAGAAGACTTCCAAGAATCCCTACTGCCTAGCCTATCTTTGATCACTGGGGATGATCATCAGAGGAAGCTATTTCTCTCTTTCATTAACTACAAGAGACTTATGTGGCCACCTTCAATCAAATAGCTCACTTTCAGGTAGTTGAAATCAGGTGAGATTAACCCAATCAGATTCATTCAGGTGAGATCAATTCAGATTCTGGTTTATCTGAGAGAAATGTAACAAAAATGGTTACAGTAGCAGTTGATTTAGTACAGACTACTAAATGTGGGACCTACACATCATAATTTCACAACTTAGTTTAGACCTTCACTGTTCAATTTATACAGTAATATATAAGAAAATCCATTAATTCACTTCAATAATAAGAAAGAGATCTTGAATAAATTGTGGTCATTGACAGGATTTTTTTTTTTTTTCTGAGATTCAATACTAAAAGGTTTAATCTTCAGGAACAAGATCTGCTTTTAAACAGTCATTGAAACAGAGAGGCGACCTTCTCATATTTACAGGTTCCTTGAATTTCCTGTCTTGCAGTTGTAAAGGACACAAAAGAACTAGCATTTTTAATAACCTAGCAGTTAATAGGAATGTAACAGCCAAAGTGTTTTTCCAGTTTAAATGTTTGGGTTTCCTGAGGACCACAATAACAATTTCTTCAAAACTAGCTAGGCAACTTAAATTTTTTCAAAAATATAATGCTGCAGTAAACAGGCTTTGTAGCTTTCAGCTCTGTTTTGAAGTCTGTTTCTTTGAATTGATCACTGAAACGTTCTGCTTATACATCTAAGATTATAAAATCTTGATGATAACAACAAGATGCAAGTCTATACTTTTTTTTTTACAAAGCCACTAATTACTGAGGACCAGATGGGAATTTAAACTTAATAATGGACAAAACTACATTTCCCATGTTTTTGTTTGCTTGGTTTGATTACTATTTTCATGCCTTCTGCTCCTTGTTTCTCTTCAAGATGACCCAAAACCCCATCTCAAATCATGCTCTAGACCTCACACAGTCTTAATTACACCAGCACAACCTGAGTGTTGTGTGTCAGATATATAATTTGTTAATTTATTCTTCAGGCCTAGGGGAAGGTAATACATTCCAGCAACGTATAGACAAAACAAAAACATTTACTTATGTCACACAAAGTCAAAATATGAGATAGCTTCAATGCTGGAAGGGGCACTTTTGATATTCACTGACTTTAGGGTATGTCTGGCCCAAAAATATACATATCAAACATAATTGATTGCCTTCCTGAAACAGTCTTCCTAAATATGTAATATATCAGTTTTAAAACTAATCATACCAATCAAATAAAGGGAACCCCCTACTTTTTATAATTTTTATAATAAAAGATGCTTCTTTTTCTAGTCAAATTTCTGCAAACATTCTATTGGAACTAGATCACTTCCATATCATACGGTTAGCAACTTAATGCAGTGTTTCTGAAATATAATGGAGACTAAAAGAATACTTTCCCTT